AAGAAATTGTGTCACCAGTAAGACTGGTGTGTTTAAACACAATACACTAAATTCTTTCTAGAAAATTTCTCTCTTATTTTATAATTGGTGTTAAGATTTGCTGTTGGAATTGGCTTCACTAGCGGGAGACACAGTTTCTGTTTCAGTCATTTTGGGGTTGATTATTATTTTATTGTCAAAAGTTAATTCAAAATGTCTCTTTTTATAGAACAAAAACAATTCTTTGAAATCATAATGATCTGGCCACTTGTTACCCTTCCTGATTTGCAGCCTTGTTATTTTCATTAATAATACGAAGGTAGCTCTTCACTATGGTATTTTCACTGTGGAGGGAATGATTAGCTTTTTTCACTTGCAAGAATTAAAGGAAGGGGAATAAAGAAGCTTTTTCCACCCTTACTACTAGATCCCTAAGGTAAACGTATTTCTTATAGATGGTTAATAAAAGGCAGATGGGACTTCTGACTTCTATATGTCTGGTCTAGAGACTTCAAATTGTATATTTGAGACCTACAATTTCTTTATTCATACATTTTGTTCATTTATTTTCTTAAAATCACTCATGGAGCATCTACTCTGCTCCACCTTCTGGGTTAGAATAAAAAGATGAATAGCCAGCACATGTGGAGCTCAGGTCTGGCAGAAGGGAGGGATCTGAACAGAGCTGACTTTAAAATATAACCAGGACCAGATACCTCCAGAGCAAAACATTTATAATCAAGAGTTTTTTTAGGCCTCTTGTTTCTTCCTGAACTAAATTTGTCAAATATAAGTGTTTCATGGTCAACAGAGAATTGTATTTTCATTGAAGTTTTGTGACCCATTTATATTAACTAGATCACTCATCAATGGTTTTGTTGTCTTAATAAAGTGTTAGATGGGGCTTGCTCAAGTTACAGGTTACAAACACCACCACAAATTCAACATTCTCTAAGTTTTGACTTGATTTTGTGGCTGAGGAGCAGCACCATCTTAGCCTGCTTACCTTCCATCACCAATACAAGTTCCTGGCATTGGTAGAAAGGGGAGGACTCTTCCACCCACACAGATAAAACAAAATTTTAAATCATTTAACAAAATTGACAGTTTACTAAAAAAGTTTTTGAAACACCAATCAAGTCCCTTTGAGATGTTTTTTTACTGAAGTGGATACTGCACTTAGCTGTGATGAGTCACTGGGTAAATGATTTTCAGCACACATGGTTCAAAGGATGGGCAATTCCAATTCAAATTTGAATCACAGCAAGATTTAAAATACAAACCTGTGCTTCATAGATCTTCTGGTCCTTTTAGCCAAGATATTAATCTGAGCTATCTGTAAGACTGCTCACTGTGGACTTGACCAGCAGATACACGAAGCCTGGGCAGAGCCAAGCCTCCTGCAGCTCAGGAGCTACTGTTTCCCGCTTCTTCCTCTGGGATTCCTCTATGGGACACAGAGCTCCCAGAAAGATATGAAGAGAGAAACAGGAAAAAAAAACAAGACAGGAGTTTGGGGGAAATAAACAATTGCCTACAGAAGGAATCTGATTTTAGTTGAGGGTTTTAAGCTATCACATGTAACTTGGTACTTTTAGGGAACTCAGAGATTCATTCACTTAACCAATAATATTTCAACCTTTCATTCTGCAGACAGAAATTATGAGATAAGCTGGAAGAACTCAAACTCTTTCTTAGAAAGAAAGACTCTTTCTGCTCGTTTACTTCAGCACAAGACTCCCTAGTAAGGGTCACACTAATGAGATTATAATTCTGAGCTACAGCACCATGAGTGGACACCACTTCTGAAAGAGCTGATTGCTTGCCCCCCCTCCACCCCGACTACCAGAATAACAGCAAGGGAAACAACCTTCTATAACTGTAGGAAAAATGGATTTATTGCCACGTTGGAAATATCCTTGTTGAAACGTGGTACTGTGCACAAATTTTTTTTTATTGGACTAAATGTAAGAACATACATCACAGATGTCAATAGTGGTTAACTTTGTATATATGGAGAATTTACTAGAGATTTTTTCTTTGATAGTTTACTGATTTTTAGACTGTCTTCACTGATCACCTTATTTTGGCTAAATTTGTAAAATTTTACCTGTTTGCTGTGAAAATTTAAGTAGCAGGGGAAATTTGAAATTAGTGGGGAATGTGTGTTTTATTGTTGTGTAAGAGACTTAAACTATACTACCTCAGTACTCGAATCAGCATTTTACATAAACTTCCCTTAATACAGGGCTTCTCAACCCTCAGGGCATCTTGAAATCACTGAGAATCATTAAAAATATCCATTCCATGGCCACTAACCCCTTCCACCCAGACCAATGGATCAGTTTGAAATGGAGCCAAGTGGAGTGATATTTTTAAAAGGTCAACTCATTATGTTATCTAAGGTTCAATACTGTAAATATTTTATCTCCGTAGCATTGACCAGGAAGGAAGTTGCATTACTTAAAATTAGACTCCAGGACTGTTTCATTCCATTCTTTAATTATCACGGTGGGTCCGTTAAGTTAACACATGATATAAAAGTTCTCAGGCTTTATGGTTAGAATTTTGGGACTTTGCTCTGTCATATGGTCACATGGTCACGTGCAATTCATTAGTGCATACACAAGGTGTACTGCTTAACAGACACTGTCCTCTTGTTTTAAATGATCATGTAAATGCCCATTATCACCTGTGCCGGCTAATTCTCCTATGAAACTTCCCCCCTGGTCACTTGCTTAAATAGCCCCAGAACTGGTTTTCCACAAGGATTCCTTTAGCTTATTTCCAATTTGACTTCGATGTCCTGAGCTCACCTGCAAACCACAGTAGGGTGGCCTTCTATTCACGTGTGTGTCCTGATGGCGTCTTAGAATTTTCCTAACACTACGTTGGCCTTCCATGCCTCTCCTTGTCTGTGCCTTAATAAGCAGCCTGAATTGGAAATCTGAACTCAGGTCTCTCCAAGGACAGCCTCCTGCTGCCCAGTTATTATTAAACCCCAGCTATTCGTGGAGGATTGTCAGAAAATATGCATCCATGTGTTTCTCTGAACAAACTAAAAAATTTGATTTTCAATCTTGAATCATCAGAGAGGTAACTACTTAGATGGGATCGCTTTGGCTTCTCATAGATTGCTTTCAGCAATTCTCCAGCATTGTGCTTTCCCCCTATATTAGTAAATAGCTCAAGAAAGTCGGAAAAGAAACTATTCTGTTTATTGTCACATATCATCTTCTTTTTGAGGGACTTGATGAGAAGTTTCTCTAGGCCTCAATCTGTTTTTATTTTAAGAACATGGCCAACCTGCTAAATTTTGGTGTTGCCTCTTTGCTTTGCCTGGTAGAAACAGTCTAATTTGCAGCTCATGTCTAGCACCATACAGGAATCTTAAAGCTTGTGCCAGATTTGCTCCAGGATTTATTCTCCCTATGTCTGACTTCACTTTCCATTTTGTATCTTGTTACATATGAAAGTTTATAAACAGGGGACAGGAACTCACAGCAGAAACAGGATCAAGGTAATGCCTGCAGAGTGGTGAGAAATCTGGCAAGACCAAGGTGGAGGCAGGAGCATAGGCTTAAAGGGTTTGGGTGTGAAAAGGTGATCTTCCCCTAGAACCGTGTATGCCTGACACGAGTTGACAAATCAAAGGACCAAAGTAGAGAAAGAGTTTAATGAATTAGGTCCCAAAGAGACTAGTGTCAGTAGAATGACAGTGGAGCCTGGAATGACCCAATTTATCAGGTGCTCATTATCCCCCACCCTTGCCCCAAATTAAACATTTTAGTGAACAAAATCCCTTTTACTTTTTGATGGAAGGAAGACAGCTGAACTTTTCTGGTGGCCAAAAAAAAAAAAAAAATTTTCAGTCTTGCACTATCAAAAGTGAAAACACTCCTGGGAAGACTGCTAATTTAAGCATTATCAGGCATGAGCATCTTCTCCAACATGACTGAAAATGTTTTAGAGTGGCATTTTGTTTAAAGAAATCATTTAGCTTAAATTAAGAAAAGCCATGCTTTCGATGAGTAATCATTTTTATTTACTTATAACTGAAAGTATTTGTTGTTTTGACTAAGATTTCATAAGTGACATAATTCGTGGTACAATAAGGCAGAATCCTGTTGGTACACAGAAAGTGCAGAATTCTGTATGAAAGCCAGAAAACTGGTTCCTGTGGCAGACTCTGACCCAGGACTACTCGTGACCCAGCCATGGAGTTTCTAGGTGGCTGAAGAAGTTCTAAGAGGCTAAAAGCAGGACCTTCTCAATTGACAATTTCTTTTCTTCTTCCAGAAAGGGATTGCGTATAACCCATGGAGTTATTTGGTAGGAAGCTGAAATCCAGAAGGAGGGAGCACAGAAGAGAAAGGACAATATAAATCTTCAGGGAATTAAGAACCCAAGAATGCCCAAGGCAGCTAGTCAGTCTTTTGCTGATCCCATCAGGATACTCAGACCAGTTGGGAGAAATAGAGCCCAGAGATAGTAGCCCATAGGCTACTCAATGAAACTCCTTCCCTACAGAGCACTTGGTAGGATGCAAGAGCGTGGACTTTGGCTTTACATTGCCTTGCTCTTTACTTCTCCAAGTACCAGATTTCAAAATGGGAGAAAAGATTGCTATGAATCTGGAATCCAGTAGTATACATACATAAGATTGCTTAACATGGAAATGAGTGGAAACTGCTCCAGATATTTTACTTTTCCTTTAGCCATGAATAAACAATTGTGTATTCCCACAGGAAATGCTCTTATAAGAATTGAGATGGAAATCAGATAAATTATTGTGCTATTAGTGAGTGCCCTTTAGCCCCTCATCTCTATGTGGGGGTGGGAGAAGGTCTCCTGCATAACCTCAAAAGCCCCATTGTTTTGGCCTCCTCCCCACCACTTCCCCTTCCTGTAAATTTCCAGAGCAGTAACTGCCCCCACATAGATATTATCCAATACCAAAGTTATTGTCCCAACCCCTCAGATAAAATATAGGATGTCCAGGTAAATTGGAATTTCAAATAAAGAATAAATAATTTTTTATTGCCTCAGTATGCTTGGATTGCTTGGGACATACTTACTCAAATTTAACTGAATCTTCTGTATTCTTTTTAACCTATCTGTGGAAACTCTATTTAGTCATTTAACCACAATTTGTGGGTTATTGGGTTTTTTTCAGTCTTAATCCTGGGCTTCCATTTCCCAGACTCTGTAGTGACCTATGGGTAAAAAAAAAAAGATGGAGGTTTACCAGGTATTGGCAAGGAGGTAGAGCAACTGGAAATCACTTACATTATTGATGGGAGTATAAATTGGCCCGACCAGTTCAGAATATATTTTGGCACTATCAACTAACCCTGGGACCCAGCAATCCCACACCAAAGTGTAGACATAACAGAAATGAATGTGTCATCCACATAAAGAGATGTACAAAATTGCTCACAGTAGTGACATGTTTTTCATTATAGTCCAAACTAGAAACAAAGCAATGGTAGCATGCATAAATAAATAGTGGTATATCTATTAATGGAATATTATATAGCAAAGAGAAAGAATGCATTAGTGCTACACACTACAGTGTAGTAAAAGAAGGGAAATAATAAATAAATAATGCATATAGTTCAATCCATATATGGCTCAAACACAGGCAAAATGAGCCTCTGCCATTAAAAGACAGGGTAGAAGTTGCCTTTGAGCAGAAGGATAAGGAGGACTTCTGGGGTGCTGGTAAGGTCCTAGCTCTTGAATCAGGTTGTGATTATAGGAATTGTTCACTTTGTAAATATTTACCAATCATGCTCACTATTTCTGTACTTTACTATTGTATATTGAACTTGGATTAAAGGTTTATTTAAAGAGAAGTAAGTGATAGAACTGGATGGGTTAAACTGTCAACATAGAAACAATAAGCAGAAGAAAGAGAAGAGAGGCAACTTTTGGGATCAGTGAGTGGGGGGGGTCTCCTAACAGGACTTGCCAGGAAGGAGAGGATTTCAGAACAAGATGTAAACAAATCTGTGGGGGAAATGGGGTCATGTAAGAATTCCTGAGTTTCAGCACTTGCTTTTGAACATTTTTTAACCAAGAATCAACCTTCTAGGTTTCATTCCTCACTAGGATTCCACGTCTCCTCCTGGAGACACAGTTTATTCATCTAAGAGGAAACTGAGCTAGACAATCTTCAAGACCCCTCCTGAGGCTCATGCTTCATGACGCCCTTGATGGGTCTCCTGCCGGTTTCTTACCACAGCACTGTGGTTCAATTTGGAGGGTAGAAAATTCCTGTGGTCTTGCTCTGTGTTTTACAGGATATTTAGCCACATCCCTAGCCTCTACCCACTAGATAGAGGGTAGATGTCACCCCAGTTGTGAGAACCAATAATTTCTCCAGATGGTGCCAGATGTCTCCGTGAGTTAAAATAATCTTTGGTTGAAAACCAGTTATGTAAACCTGCACTGTGCAACACTAGGGCAGTTTTTGAGTGATTGGTTTCAAGATTTAAAATACATACATGCACACATAAGAAGAAAGGAAAGTGAGTCATAAATTGCCTACCTTCTATAGTCTCCAAATTTATCTGAGAAGGGACGTTCTAGGAAAATGCTTACCATTTACTCCTGAACAGAGCTGGCTCGTGTCAGCTGACCGAGATTCACAGTCACTGATTGGTGGAGTTCAGTGGAAAGAAGAATAAAGGCTCTGGAGTCCCCCGGCTGGAATTTAGATCCAACTCTGCCGTTCTGTCCCTTTGGACATGTAATTTCTTTTCAGTTTCTTTTCCTTTCTTCTGTAGCATTGTAGAAGAACTAGCCACATCATACAACATCTAGGAGAGTGTAAAGAAGGAGGAATGGTATTGTGTTTCCCTCCAAGGCCAAGTACTTTCTTTTCTTTAATACTCATGAAATACTTACCTTATGCCAGGTACCACTCTCAGAACTTTTCAACTATTAACTCCTTTAATCCTCCTAACTCTGTTGTAAGACAGAGACTGCAAATATCCCCATTTCACAGATGAGGAAACTGAGGCACAGACAGGTGAAGTTACTCTCCCAAGGTCAGCTAGCCAGTCACTGGGAAAGCTGGTCCTAGGGCCTAACCGCTAGAGTCCTCGGTCCTAACCCCTAGACTGTGTTGCTCGGTTCACCTTCTCATCTTTGGTTTCCTTAACTTTGGCAGTGAGGTGTTCTCCATGTCTTCTCCCTGAAGAGATGAGGAACAGAATGGGGGCCAATGCTCAGTCTTAGAGACAAGCCTCATTTTCTCATCCATCAATTAAAGAGGTTGGACTAGCGATCATGATTTTTCCCTGGCCCTGGAACTTAACCGCTTTGCTTCAGTTTGCTTGTCCGCAGTAAAAAGAGTCTTAGCAGCCCTAATTGCCTGAGTGCTTCAGTCTGTTGTTAATACTAAACAGAGGTCAGTGTTAATGAGGGGTCAAACATGAAAATGCTTTGAAAAAGTATTATGCTCTGTACACATGTAAGCCATTGTCATTGGGCAACATTTCACTCCCTGGTTTTTTCCATCAACTTTCACTGGTACTTAGACTCCTATCATGTACATGGTAATTTGCAGTTTTCAAAATATCTTCACATCCTGTTCTAACTTCAGCCTCTCAAACACTAACTGACGAACATCCAAGCCCTCTGATCGCTAACCCAGTGGTCACGCTATCACCTCCCTGTCACTGGGCCTCTCCGTGCCGTGCTCCCAGACGCTTGTCGGTACTGTCAGCTGAGGCACTGGCCCTGCCGCTCCGCTGCAGGGGTGCATCTGTCAGGTCACTGGCGTGCGGGAAGCAGTGGAGAGCAGACGTAGCCTATTGGCAGAGTCTCATCACATTAATGCAACTCAGCGAGGAACATGGTACTGTATTCCTTTTAAAGATGTCAAACGGAGGCTCAGAGAAGGTAGTTTACTTGTCTAGGGACAGACAGACAGTGGAAAATAGATCTGAACCCAGGTTTGTTTGTCTCCACGGTTCCTAATCATGATCTAGATGTTGGCTAGTCAAAGTGTGGACCAGACACCAGCAGCGTGGGCACTACCAAGACCATGAGCTCCACAGCTGCTCAGTAGAGCTCTGTCCACCATCCAGGGATGCCAACATTTAAATAAACACCTAGATTCATTCATACTCATGTATATTGTAGACTGTTTTAAAAATATACTTCTAAACATTTTACTTCAAAAAGGGGGACTTAGGGATTTTAAAGCAAGTGGCATTAATCCTTGTGTTAGATTGGAACTGAATTAGTTGAATTAACAGATACTCAATACATACTAGACATGACTTGCATATATAGTAATTGTAGCATATGCCCATTTCAGGACTTACATCAGAACTTCTAATTCTTAAAACTTACTCATTGGTATTTTTTTTAACATGAAACACAACAAATTTTATCCTTCAAACTACTCAACACAACAAATATATGTGTCCAGTGCTATACAAACAGGTATGAAGCACTGAAAGAATATTTAAGATATAATTTTTGCCCTGAAGTAATTTTTACCTGTGGAGTTTCCGAAAAAAAAACTTTAGCACAGCTTTCCATTTTGATACATTGCCTAAATGATTTTGATTGTCTCTACTTTTCCCACAGCATTGTTTTTATTAAAGAAGTCATTTTTGCTTAAGAATATTGCCTTCCTGGTCCATTTGGCTGTACTCATCTTCCTGGTATATTTTTAAAGGTAACAGAAAATTTGCTCTTGAGACCACAGGTATATCCATAATATTCAGAATTGAATAACACATGACCTGTATAATGTATTCCTTATCTGTAACTAGTTCTCAGATAATAGACTGAATTCATATGTCGTGCCACTCTGATCAGATGGTAGTAGCATCCTATACACTCTTGTGAAGGATTCTAAGATGTCCAACGGGAACGTTCTGGGATTGGTTAGCAATGCCTGCTATGAGCGTGGGAAAGAGGTGCTGAGGGGCACCTGTCCATGCATTGCTGTCCCTTCACTCTGACATGCCCACTGTTCCAAAAGGCTGAGGTCTTTACTCTGCCTCATGCATTCCATACTCTGTTTCCCTTAGGCATTCCTTCACACTGTTTCCACTACCTAGAATGCTTACTTTCTATGCCTGGGCCAGAATCCAGCACCATCCAATCAGCCTTCCCCAACTTCTACAGACCCAATGGTAATTCTCTTTCTGCCAGTTTGGAAAAAAAACAAAAAAACAAAGAACTTGTTCCTAGATCATATGCGTGAACTTCAGCTCAACGCCCTGAATCAGATACTTCTCTTACATCTCCCAGGGGCCAAGGAGGTTCTCAGTACAGACTTGTTTTGGTTGAAATGAATCATCTCCACTTCCTCTTTGAGGTACACCTGTCCTTCCTGGGCTGAGCAAGTGTCACCACAGTTTTTGGCCTTTTATTTTACTATGGAGAGTCCCCTAGTGATTTCTGTACTAGTTTCTCCTTACTGAATTTCTGTAACATTTCCCTCTGGCTTTATAACTATGCCCAGTCCCAAACTGAAGGCAGACTTGCTGGGCAAAAAGATTTGGACAAATTATGCTTTTCTCTTCTTGTCCTCTGATTTGCTTCTCAGAGGAGTCAGTATCTGGGAAGGGAGTTGAAAAAACTACAATTTTGATTTAAAAGCCATCAGATTAGGCAATAGCACTGTTGTGGTCCCCTTCCACGTTCTCACTTTTTATCAACCCCTCTCCCTTAAGAAGCTCTTGGGCCCTTATTAAACATACAGATCCCTGGACCCTTTCCCAGGCCTATTAAATCCAAATTTCTAAGGATGTCTCATCATTAACAAGCCCCTCAGGTGATTCTTACCCACATGAATGTTTAAAAAAGAGAAAGAAAATTTGTTCGTTATATGCAAGTTTTCTAGTGTATTTCAGTAAGTATACCAGATGCTGGCTAATAATATAACAATGGTGTACTCTGGTAGAATATCTATAGACAGAAACCAGTAGAAAATACCAATTGTGTAGAGCATTTTCATTACTAAGACTCCAGGACAACCACACAACACTTAATATATACAAAAATGAAAGTATTTGGGCCTTAACCTGCACAAATTTAAATTTAGTTGATCATGCAAGGCAATGCTATCCATTCACATGACTTTTAACCATCACCTGTCTGCTAATTCATTTCTTTAACAATATCATATCCATGTGTACCATGTTCAGACTCTGTTGTAGGTTTCCCTGGTTAGCCCTTTACCTCTGCAGCCTGTCTGGAAACAGTCCCTGCGCTACCACATGGCCATACATTTTCCTGCATTGTCAGCAAAGGCATCATTACCCTACCAATTAATCAAACAGGAGAAAGACCGTTGGATTCCAGTTAAATTTTTAAGTACATCTTGCAGTTTCAAACAAGATTCTTAGTATGATTTTATGATCATCATGTAGCCTTCTCAATGTCATGGATTTCTCTTTCAGTCATAAAGCAAGTTCTTGATAATCAATATTAGAGTTACTTTCCTATGGCAGCTCAAAGTGCCTTAGCTTTTATTATTCCTTAAAACATATGCCCCTCTTGGTGGGAATCAGTCAGTCACAGCCGTGGTCTCAGGGTAAACAAGACCAGGAAGAGCAGTGTCAGAGGAAGAGCTAAGAACACTGGGAAGGACTGAGAGAGCATGGAATGACACATGACCAGTGGTCTCCAGGGCTGCCTGCAACACAATCACCCCTCAAAAATTTTATACCCCACTTAAAAGTCCACCCCAGGCTAGTGAATCAGTATTTTCAACCAAGACGTAAGGTTGAACCTAATGCACAGCTGGATTGGGACACACTGCAGAATCTTTGACTGGGGCTTCCTTGGCAACATGGTGGAGGAAGACTGAAGTGGGTAAAGTAGAGCGGTAGTAGGCTCAGGGTGCTGCCTTGCAGTGCTCAAGGGAAGTGTGAGAAGGGAGCAGGGGCAAGACTACAGATTATGCGTCATGATTAGATTCTATACAGTAAAGAAGAAAGTTGTAACATTAAGTCCTTGTGAAACTGCTTTTTTTCTGTCTTGAGAGTTCTGACTGGGCAGGAGCTCACAAGACATTCAGCTTGATCGCTGGATGAAATATGAAAAGTATAGGAAGGACATTATTTCCTAGTGGTTTACAACTACTGGATTTTTCTGTGGAAATCTGAAGTCTCTTTTTTCAGATGATGGCCTGACACTTTCACAAAAGGAAGTCGATTGCTTTTTAAGTAACATAGGTCTTCTGTTACGGTTTTAGTTATCAGGACTTAAAATCACACAATGAACACTGACATTAGCTAGAAGCATCTTTTCTAATGACAATAATTTTATGGAAGGTAAAGAGCTCTACCTCACAGAGTTCTCTTAAGGAACAATTGAGAGAATGTCTGTAGAATAGCTTTTAAAAATTGATTATAATAACTATTAAAGAAGAATACATCAAATGCAAAATACACATTGTTCAAGATGGTTTTCTTGAAAATACCAAAAAAAAAATCTTGCTGAACTATAGAGATCAGTAAAAGGGGCTAAAAAACACCCCAAACCAGAAAACCTGAGAAAGGAACCCTCATTCCCTTTCCTTTGTGTTCTTAATTCCAAACATGGTCAATAGTATAGATACATTATGCTAAGTTAGTTGAACGTGACCACCCCGATAAGGACGGAGGTGATGAAATGTCTTCTCAGCTGGTATCTACATTACATGCCCCAATACAAGTAGGTTTTTAATCCTCTTTTGGTTTTGTTTTCTAGGCAGTACCCTATCGAACTGAGCCTTAAAAATGAATCCAGTTGTTCAACAGCCAAAATACGGTGCAGGGGGTATGAGCAATGACTGGCAAACTGGCATGTTTGGCTGTTGCGATGACATAGGCATTTGTAAGTGCACATAGTTACTGATTCTCCTTGACAACCTAATGCAGATCACTGTGTAATACGATTCTCATATTTATCCTGTCACTAGGCTCCATGCTTTAGTCACTAACTCAGAAGTGACAAGCAGGAAGCCCATAGGTGGACTTGGCCACCAGCTGTGTTTTGTTTGTCCTGTACATAATAATGTACTCTCTTGATGTAGTAATTGAAAATAGTAGGAAACATAAAAACCCAATTCATGTAAAAATCTAGCTCTCTAATCTAGATTTACGACTTCTCTTGAAAATTGGAAATCTGGAAAGAGGCGTCCTCATTCACCCACGGCAGAGGTCAGCAGCCACTGCGTATTAGCTAACCCCACTGAAAGGAGCAGTTACTCAGCAGTTCGCCATACTTATGTCCACCATCCGCTATTATCTACTTGTGTTTTTCCAAGCTGTTTCACTTATTTATTTTGCTGCCTGGCCTTGAGTTGGTGATCCCTGTCTGACACAATCACCTCTCTTTGAATTTCTTACCTCTTGGGTGTCACATGTCTTGACGTATTTCTCTCCTGTGTCTTCCATTCGCGTCTTCTTTCGCCTGCCCCACTGATTCTGTGTGTCCCGAGCTTCCGTGATCTCCCTGTGGCCCTTGAGACTGTTCCATCTCCAGAAGGAGAACAGGTGTTCAGCCTTACTGACTTGTCATTCTTTAATGCTACCAAACACACTTTTTGTGAGAACATTTGCCTTATTTCTCCTTCGCCATTATCAGTCGCAAACACTCTGTGCAGCTCATCTTCCCACTGTCTGTGAGAACAGCCCCCTCTTTTTTTGGAGGATGGAATTTCCACGTCCTTTGGAGACTGTCTTTTGCTTAAACGATCTATCAAAAACCTCAGATTTTCTTATCCTATCTAAGGCGCAGTCATATCACAGCTCCGGCCCAGAGGTTTTCACAAGAGATTTGTACTCAGAGCATATCTGAGAACAGTGTCCTGTTTGCTGCTATTTTCTTAGGCCTCTCTTTTTGGACTTATACAGATTTTTTAAAGAGAATTTGCAGTAAGCCTTTTAAGCATCTGATACCAATATCTGTTAATCTCTCCTTGCGTTCATCCCCAAAACAACAGCAGAAGTGTCCTCTGCCCGAAACCATCTGGAGTCTGTTCCCCATTGCTGTCTCCCTTTGGCCCTCATCACTTCTCCTGCAGCGTTCTCTGACCCTAAACACTCTCCCATAGCTCTCAGAGGGCTTCTCAGAGGCCCTGATGCCACAAACTTCCTGTGCAAGCATGACCCAGATGCAAACAAGGGCAGCTAAGAAAGATAATGTGAACACACTCTGATGGTCAGGGCGGTCGCTTCGGCGATTAAAGCCGACCTGGTGCAACGCCAGGCACATTCGCCCCAACTCCCGGACGAAAGGCTCTAGAACCGAGACAGAAAGAGCCAGATGACAGCATTGCTTTCTCAGAGTGCCCGTGAAGGCCCTTTCCCAAGGGAGCCTCTTTGCAAGAGTGTGTGATGTGGCTGAGGCCATGACGCTTGCACTGACTCCCCTGTGTGGTTTCACCCTTGCAACCAGGCCTCTGTGGGACGTTCTTTCCCCTGTATCTTTCATGTCAGATCGCCTCTGACATGAACGAATGCTGCCTGTGTGGAGGAAGTGTCGCCATGAGGACCATGTATCGGACCCGGTACGGCATCCCGGTGAGTCGCCCAGGGCCCCATGCGAGGAGGCAGCCGGCGCGCCCACAGAACTTCCCTTCCATCTGACAGGTCTCTGTGATGGCCCTCCTCAACTTCAGGGCTTGACCTGAATCTTTCTTCACTCCCATATATGGGAATATATTTGTAATGAAATCTTTTACTGTTCTAATTGTGCATCTCTGAAAAAGTTGCTGGAAGTGAGTAAGTGAGGGGTGGAGGCCAGCACAGGGTCCTTAGGCTCTCTTGGCTTTACTCAGAGGCAGACACAGGACCCTGCAATCCTGCAAGGCGTGCGGCAGTTCCTTAGAAACCCTTGGGGAAAGACAGATATGAGGTGGATCGCTTTAGAGCTGCCACATTTGCCTCACGTTCCAGGGGTCATTCATTCAAAATGGATTATTGAGCATCCAGAAACTGAGTGAGGCCTGAACTGGGGCTCATTCATTCAACAGGGATTTATTGTGTACCTGGAACACACCGAATACTGTTCCAGATGCCAGAAACACATCAGTGAGCAAAGCAACCCAAAATTTCCATCTTCATCAAGCTTACTGTTTGTTTTGAGAGTTTTTATTTTAACACAATTTCAGACTTCCAGAAAAGTTATAGAAATGGTACAATAACTTCCTGACTACCCTATCATCAGACTCCCCAAATATTAAAATTTTGCCATCTTTGCTTTATTTTCTCTCTTTCATCTATTGGACTATCTATCCTATTTTATTCTGAATCAATTGAGAGTCAGTTACAAACTTAAGGCCTTGTTCTTTCTAGTACAGTGTGTATTAATAAAAAGGACATTTTCTAACATAAAAATACTACTATGAAAATCTGGAACTTAATGTTGATACAATACTATTATCTAAACTCTGGATCTTATTTACATGTTACCAATTATCCCAATAACATTCTTTAGATGAAAAGACCTAAAAGGATGAGAGGATGACCTCTCTGGGGCAGATCCAGGCAGAGGTGAGATCCAGCGCTAAGGCCTTGAACTAGAGCTCACCTCGAATGCTCCAGAGACAGCAAGAGGCCAGAAAGGCAGAAATAGAGTGAATCAGAGGGTAGGGATAGGCTGTAATAGAAGATGGCATCAGAGCACTAGCAACAGTTAGACCTTCTGGGGCCTTGCAGAACATCAGAAGAACTTTAGCTTTTACTCTAAGTGAGCTGGAAAGCCACTGAAATACTTTAAACAAAGAAGTGACATGATGTATTCTTGTTCCTGGAAACTTCCCTCTGCCCAGCTAACTGTTCCCATGTGACTGAGAGCAAGTTCTTAATCTTCCTGAGCCTGGACTCCCTCACTGGTGTACGGTGATGATATTCCCCCATGCCCCACCCAGCTGCCTCCAATGATGGTGTAACTAAAAGTCAGGTGAGAGAATGTATGGAAAGGCCTCAGTCCAAGGCCAGGCAAGTAACAAGTGCTCAAATAAGTAACTATTTTATTTTTGGACTGAGAGAATGGCTGAGCTGTCTCAGGGCGGGGGTGTGTTCAGGGCCTGGCTCCATTTCTCCTGCCCACCTTTTCAGCCCTGCTGCTCCCGTTAGGGCTGCGCAGAAGGCAGCCGAACACACAGGGCTTCTTAGCTTGGTAACTTGCCCCTGAACTTTTTGAACTGTATGCAGGCCATACCTGTGTAGTTAGGCACATGAATGTGAGGCTGAGGTTCTCAAAGTAGTCCACAACCCCGAAATGGCATACAGGAAGGGGCACTTAGCACAATCCTGCAGATAAAGGTTCTGGGACCAGCTCAACAAATAGCCAACTTTTTTGTTCTCTGACAATCATTGGGTGGCATCAGTTTTCGCATCTCTCATAAGGAAGTTGTGCAAGATGATTTCTAAGGTTGCTTGTAGGTCTTGGATTCTAAGATGTAAAATTTCTTCGCATACATTATATAATATACTTATAGATACTATATAGTCTTCCTCCTTAGAACAGATCTCTAAAATGACTAGTAATTCCCAGGACTGATTTATATCATTCAGTCTCTTTGTTTTGTTTCCCTACATCTATGCAGACTTGCACAGGGCACCACAGTGCAACCTCTGATCTGCCTCTCCCTTCCTGGATGCAGCCAGGGCATGCCTTTGGCAGGCATCACAGACTCTGCAGGAGAGAAGTAGAAAGAAAGGAAACACTCATTGATTGAACCATTATGTGGGGGATGTTATTTTGACATACATTTGCTCATTTACTACTTGCAGACTCTGTGGTGGAATTGTTAGCTCTACTTTACAGATATGGAAACCAGGAATGAGAAAGGCTTAATGTCACAGAACATGTATATGTTGGCATTTGGGCTCAAGTTTATTCCAGGTCTCAGAGTCTGGTTTTTCTCACTTTACCATCTCGTCCTCCTGAATAGATGGGTCTTCAGTCACTTAACATAATGCATTCATTTATTCACTCAGTGATCAGTAACTAGTGCCCACAACAAGGTGGCTTCCAAACTAGCTCAGCGCCAGTCCCCTTTGCGGAGCAGTGCCAAATGAACCATCTCCATGCCTGGCATCCACTTCCTGACATGCTATTCTGGTCAAGGCAGTTACATCCCTTACTACCTTCCACATGGTATTAACCTGTAGTTCAATTCCTTCACTTTGAAAAAGGAGTGTTTTTCTTCTCCATATTCTCTGTACCTGAATTGTGAAACAGACTTAGAATCATGGTGGTTTTTTTTATAGGTTTCCTCCATCTCAGAAAATACTAGTGGATTTTTTTTTCTCCCATAGCTTCCTAAAGTGAAAGACAGACTCAGACATGCTGGAACAGAAAAGTAATTAGATCCTTATCAAATGAGAATATTTCCTTCCTTGTGGCATATTATATGTATTCAATAAATGTTGGTTTAATGAAGGCTTAAAAGATACAAAGAATAAACAGTAATTAATGAACTGAAGATTGAAAAGAACAAGTATTCTGAGGAAAAGTTGAAGGAATTTGGATTATTTATCAGGGGAAAAGGCAAGGCTAAGAGATTGAGTTGTCTTCAAGCTGAACACCAATTTTGCCATAAGACAAAATTACATCATTAGATTAATAATGTTGCTACTTATCTGTCCACTCCACCCCACATGCTTACTCTGTTAGGTGAGAATCAAAATCACTTTATCAATGGAAAAAAATTTTCATGAAAAATAAATCACTCATAATCTCACATTTAGGAGCTCCTGACCTTTCTAAACTGAATTTACTGTAGATATCCCTCTTTCTCTCCCTCACTCTCTCTCTCTCTCTCAACTCACACTGTAAATTGGGAATTCTATTAACACACCCTTAAAAAAAATAAATGCTATTAAAAAATAGAGTTCAAAATTATTTCAGTTAGTCAAGATGTACAGTTATAGAATCTGGTGATCAGACTAGAACCCCATGGATCACCTAGTTCCTCCTGCCCAGGGCAAGGGGCCCTTCAAGGGCATCCCTGCCAAAAGGTCATTGAAGACCCAAGGGAACTAGTCAGTCCAGGGAGGAGCTTTGCAAAGTAGCCCATTCCATGACTTTTCCAAACACTGTTTATTCTCTGCTTTCTTCTTTGCCTGATACTTATGTATCTTCCCCTCACTCTAGATTCCCTGCCTTGCAGAACAAACATGAGAGGTGTCACTGAAAATGGCTATAGGGATACAATGTGGTCTGGCACTACTCACAAACTATAGAAAAATCAGTGCACTACACAACTGGCTTTGAAGAGAGGCATTCCAGAGCATATGGTGGAGGCCTGGGCTATAGTTGTAACCTATAGGTCATTGAAAATGGTATCATATTATGAAAAGGGCACTGGTTTGAGAAGAGAAAGACCAAGCACTACCAATTTGTTATGTTATTGTAACAAGTCATTTAACCTCACACAGTCATCGGAAAAATGGGGATATTCTCACAGCATTCTCATGATAAACAACATAAAATGTATGTTTCAAAGAGGTTTGAAAAGCTATACAAATGCAAGGAATTGTGTGACTATATTAAAGGCCACATGTGAATCCATTTGTCTATTTTTTAACAGGGATCTATTTGCAGTGATTTCCTATGGCTGTTGTGTTTCCCTCACTGTGCCCTTTGTCAGCTCAAGCGAGATATTGAAAAGAGAAAAGCAATGAATGCTTTCTAAAAGGTGCTTGGTGAGTTGGTGGGAATGCTTTGATCACTGACTTTCAAAACAGATCCTCAAAAATTTCCTTGGTGCTCTCTCACAGGTATATGAACTATACCTTAATGAGTGGAGGTAAATGATTTTTCATTGCCAGCCTATACCAATTGGTTGACAGCTTCCAAGAGCCTGGGTTGAGAGAGCTGGGTAGGAAAGGGCTCTGTGATTTGTTAGGATGTCTGCCAGAGAATGAGGGGCTGTGTGGTGTACCAAATAAACATGCCCATATCAACCGTGGCCCTCTAACTACACCATGACTTAAGGTGCAGAGACACGAATTATAACCAGACACTCATTTCCCTAAGCCTGGATCTCAGGTCCGCTGCTAGCAACAGTAACCAACTGAGTTGCTGTACTGAGTGTGACTGTGTAATGTACCTAGTTATATGTTCTTGTCAACACCACAATATTAAAATAATTCATTCTCCAAAGGAGGCTATTTTAGTCTCTATAAATTATTGTTGATAGTACACTCAGTTATCCCAACTTCCCAAAGCCCCACTAAGAAGAGTTACTGACTTTTTGCTGGCTTTATTGTCAGAGTTGGGCAGCTACCCGTTTATCTAGTTTCCTCAGCTCTTCTCAGTCCTTCGTGTTTGTGTCAGGCATGAGGGCCAGGGATCACCCAGCCCGTCTTTCAATTCCTTACTGCCAATCCCCATGGCATTTGTCGTCAAAGTTTACTTTCCCCTTGGAAATAGCTCTTCTCTGTAAAAGTCTTACCTTCCAAGAGTTCCCTGGAAATGATTAGGATGGTGCTTTCATTTGTATGATTGGTTCACGTTGGCACAACCTGTCTCTCTTAGCTGTTTTACCACATGTCACACAAAATAATTTCCTCTTTATGAACGTTTTAGATCATTTCATGTTGCATTTTCATACTGCAGAACCCTACTATTTGTCTTCTGATGGCTTTAAATGGCTCTCTGGGTGACCAAAGTGCCTTACTTTGACAGAGTAAAAATGGCAAGTTTTCTTAATGTTCTTTTTCCTCTTTATCCCCTACCTGCTAAGAACTACCTGTCCTCTCCCTTCCCAAGCAGGGACATGTGTTTAAAGGCCTATATTACCCACATGACTGGAATGTGATACCAAAGTAGCCCTAGGAGAATTCAAATGGGGTGGTTTACCTGTCTAGTCATCTCCAGTGAAAAAGATTGTTTGGGGTTTTCTGCCTTTGGACTCTTATGCTTGCATTTGATGATTCATTGACATTCAGTAACAGAAGTTAACTCTGGAGAAGTACAGAGCATTCTGATGGTTCACCCATCCACCTAGCAGCAGAGCCTGACACGTAGTAGGCACTTAATAAATACTGTGCATGAATGAGTGAACGCACCTGTCAAGCAAGGAAGCTAATGAGTCCTTATCCCAGGAGACACATCTGAATCCTAACTGGTGGTTGTCACTCTTCCTAATAGATTATACTGAACCAGGAGCCATTATTTTACATAGAATTTAAATATGCAGCAATTTGGCAGTGGGGTATTGGTGGAATAGAAGATTTGATATTAGGCACAAGATAATGTAAAGAAACTGGAACTGAAAAATAACTCATTCATTCATTTATTCTTGCTTTTCTTCCTTTTTCTGGTTTCTAGAGGTCAAATGCACATCATGGTGGAAGAAAATGTTGGAATAAAAAACTACATTCTATTAAGTGCTGTATCACCTCAAAATTTGGAGACCAATCAGCTAATATGGTTTCAAAAGGTTTCAGAGCATTTCTAATTTCCAAGTTATTTGGAAAGAAATGTATTGCAGTACTGTCCTCTAAGGTGACTTGTCATTAAAGAAAACCAATTTCCTCATGGTTCTTGTGTCTTTAAATACTGCTTCTTTCCTTTAAAGGCACACAAGGTTGTCAAAATGTCAAAGTTGAATGACAAGTACATGGAGATTCTTTCTTCTACTTTTCTTCCTTTATATATGTTTGAAAATATCCAGGATAAAAAGTTTTTTTTATGTTGTGAGGTAAAAGGGTTTTTGGATTTGGGAGTCTAGGTGTTACTCTGTGCAGTTCTTCACCCCAGGTAAGTGTGGCTTCCTCCCTCTGGAAGCCAGAATGGCATTGGGCACTTTACAGCCCCATAAAGTAAATCCACTTCAGGAAGTGTTGGCTAAGCATTGCAGAGTTTACTGTAGACGATATGGACAAAAGAGAAGATTTTTGTTGTAAGGCACACAGCAAACCACCTACTTAAATTTCCCGTGGGACACATCTATCCTCTCCATCAGCATCTCCCACAGCAAGCCTGCCCCTGAGGCCCCACACACCTTTCTCTTTTCCTTTTCCAGGATAATGTGACATTCTTTATTCAACATAATTGGCACATAATATATCAGTTTTCAGTGTACAACACATAATCTGGTATATGTATATATTGCAAAACAATCACTATAGGGAGTTAACATCCATCACCTCACATAGTTACAAATTTTTTTCTCTTATAACAACTTTTTAGAATTACTCTCAGCACAACTTTCAAATACACAACACAGTATTTTAAATTAGAGTCAGCATGCTGTATATTACATCGGCATGACTTCTTTATTTCATAACTGAAGTTTGTGCCTTCTAACCTTCACTCGTTTTACTCATTCCCCATCTCCATCTCTGGTGACCACCGATCTGTTTTCAGTATCTCTGAGTTCAGTTTCTTGGTGGTTTTTTAGTTTCCACATATAAGTAAAATCATATGGTATTTGTCTTTCTCTCTTTGACTTACTTCACTTTGCATAATGCCCCCAAGGTCCATCCATACTACTGCAAATAGCAGGATTTCCTTCTTTTTCATTGGGAATAATATTCCACTGAATATATGTACTACATCTCTGTTTCATCTGCCTATGGACAGTCAGGTTGGTTCCCTGTCTGGCCTTTGGAAATAAGGCTGAAACAAATAGAGGGTGCATTCCACACACAATTTCTTCTGTAGAGCAATTCAGTTCCATCGTCCTAGAACCACAGCCCCAAAGGTGAGGGATGGGGATGAAATTCTACATTTAAGCAAAATGGTATGTTTTCCATATAACTTAGTTTTAAATTACAACTTACTTGATACATAAAAGTTATGATAGGGAGAGGGCGGAGCCAGGATGGCGGCGTGAGTAGAGCAGTGGAAATCTCCTCCCCAAAACACATAGATCTATGAAAATAAAACAAAGAAAACTCTTCCTAAAATAGAGACCAGACGACACAGGACAACATCCAGACCACATCCACACCTGCAAGAATCCAGCGCCTTGCGAAGGGGATAAGATACAAGCCCCGGCCTGGCGGGACCCGAGAGCCCCTCCCCCGGGCTCCCGGCGGGTGGAAAGAAACTGGAGTGCTTTTTTTTTTTGGCGAGTGCTTTTTGGAAGCCTTAAAGGGACAGGGACCCCGGTGCTAGGGAGGCAGGGCAGCGGGACCAGTGAGCGGGTGCCTGGGACCGGCGCCTGAGGACAAAGAATATCGCGTGTTTTTCCCTGCGGGACCGGTGGGCAGGTGCCTGAGACTGACGCCTGAGGATGGAGAAAATCGCGCGTGTTTCCCCTTTTTTTATCTCTTTTTGGCGAGTCCTTTTTGGAAGCCTTAAAGGGAAAGGGACCCCGGTGCTAGGGAGGCAGAGCAGCAGGACCGGTGAGCAGGTGCCTGGGACCGGCGCCTGAAGACAAAGAATATCGCATGTTTATCCCTGCGGGACCGGTGGGCAGGTGCTTTTTGGAAGCCTTGAAGGGACAGGGACCCCAGTGCTAGGGAGGCAGGGCAGCAGGACCAGTGAGTAGGTGCCTGGGACCGGCGCCTGAGGAAAAAAAAAATCACGTATTTTTTCCTTTTTTCCTTTTTTTTTTTTTCTGTTCCCTCTCTCATTGTTGTTGTTGTTGTTTTCATTTGGAGAGTGCTTTTTGGAAGTCTTAAAGGGGCAGGACAGGACACTTAGACCAGAGGCAGGGAATCTGGGGATCTCTGGGCACTCTAACCCCCTGGGCAGCAGGGAGCACAGAGGCCCCTTACGGAGATAAATAGCCTCCCGGCCGCTCCCCCTCCAACGGGGCTCCACCATTTTGGAGGAACAGCCCCAGCCAGGCCAAGCCCACAGCAACAGCGGAGATAAACCCCAAAGCAACTGGGCAGGAAGCAGAAGCCCTGTCTGCGCACAGCTGCCCAGCACAAGCCACTAGAGGTCGCTATTCTCCCAGGAAAAGGCTACAAACCAACAAGAAGGGAAGCTCTTCCAGCGGTCACTTGTACCAGCTCTGCAAACTATCTCTATCACCATGAAAAGGCAAAACTACAGGCAGACAAAGATCACAGAGACAACACCTGAGAAGGAGACAGACCTAACTAGTCCTCCTGAAAAAGAATTCAAAATAAAAATCATGAACATGCTGACAGAGATGCAGAGAAAAATGCAAGAGCAATGGGATGAGATGCAGAGAAAAATGCAAGAGCAGTGGGATGAGATGCAGAGAAAAATGCAAGAGCAGTGGGATGAAGTCCGGAAGGAGATCACAGATGTCAGGAAAGAGATCACAGAAGTGAAACAATCCCTGGAAGGATTTATAAGCAGAATGGATAAGATGCAAGAGGCCATTGAAGGAATAGAAGCCAGAGAACAGGAACGTATAGAAGCTGACATAGAGAGAGATAAAAGGATCTCCAGGAATGAAACAACACTAAGAGAAATATGTGACCAATACAAAAGGAAAAACATTCGTATTATAGGGATACCAGAAGAGGAAGAAAGAGGAAAAGGGATAGAAAGTGTCTTTGAAGAAATAATTGCTGAAAACTTCCCCAAACTGGGGGAGGAAATAATCGAACAGACCATGGAATTATACAGAACCCCCAACAGAAAGGATCCAAGGAGGACAACACCAAGACACATAATAATTAAAATGGCAAGGATCAAGGACAAGGAAAGAGTTTTAAAGGCAGCTAGAGAGAAAAAGGTCACCTATAAAGGAAAACCAATCAGGCTAACATCAGACTTCTCAACAGAAACCCTACAGGCCAGAAGAGAATGGCATGATATACTTAATGCAATGAAACAGAAGGGCCTTGAACCAAGGATACTGTATCCAGCACGACTATCATTTAAATATGATGGTGGGATCAAACAATTCCCAGACAAGCAAAAGCTGAGGGAATTTGCTTCCCACAAACCACCTCTACAGGGCATCCTACAGGGACTGCTCTAGATGGGAGCACCCCTAAAAAGAGCACAGAACAAAACACACAACATATGAAGAATGGAGGAGGAGGAATAAGAAGGGAGAGAAGAAAAGACTCTCCAGACAGTGTATATAACAGCTCAATAAGCGAGCTAAGTTAGGCAGTAAGATACTAAAGAAGCTAACCTTGAACCTTTGGTAACCACGAATCTAAAGCCTGCAATGGCAATAAGTACATATCTTTCAATAGTCACCCTAAATGTAAATGGACTTAATGCACCAATCAAAAGACATAGAGTAATAGAATGGATAAAAAAGCAAGACCCATCTATATGCTGCTTACAAGAAACTCACCTTAAACCCAAAGATAAGCATAGACTAAAAGTCAAGGGATGGAAAAACATATTTCAGGCAAACAACAGTGAGAAGAAAGCAGGGGTTGCAGTACTAATATCAGACAAAATAGACTTCAAAACAAAGAAAGTAACAAGAGATAAAGAAGGCCACTACATAATGATAAAGGGCTCAGTCCAACAAGAGGATATAACCATTCTAAATATATATGCACCCAATACAGGAGCACCAGCATATGTGAAGCAAATACTAACAGAACTAAAGAGGGAAATAGACTGCAATGCATTCATTGTAGGAGACTTCAACACACCACTCACCCCAAAGGATAGATCCACCGGGCAGAAAATAAGTAAAGACACACAGGCACTGAACAACACACTAGAACAGATGGACCTAATAGACATCTATAGAACTTTACATCCAAAAGCAACAGGATATACATTCTTCTCAAGTGCACATGGAACATTCTCCAGAATAGACCACATACTAGCTCACAAAAAGAGCCTCAGTAAATTCCACAATATTGAAATTCTACCAACCAATTTTTCAGACCACAAAGGTATGAAAGTAGAAATAAATTCTACAAAGAAAACAAAAAGGCTCACAAACACATGGAGGCTTAACAACATGCTACTAAATAATCAATGGATCAATGAACAAATCAAAATAGAGATCAAGGAATATATAGAAACAAATGACAACAACAACACTAAGCCCCAACTTCTGTGGGATGCAGCGAAAGCAGTCTTAAGAGGAAAGTATATAGCAATCCAGGCACACTTGAAGAAGGAAGAACAATCCCAAATGAATAGTCTAACATCACAATTATTAAAACTGGAAAAAGAAGAACAAATGAGGCCTAAAGTCAGCAGAAGGAGGGACATAATAAAGATCAGAGAAGAAATAAACAAAATTGAGAAGAATAAAACAATAGCAAAAATCAACGAAACCAAGAGCTGGTTCTTTGAGAAAATAAACAAAATAGATAAGCCTCTAGCCCAACTTATTAAGAGAAAAAGAGAGTCAACACAAATCAACATAATCAGAAATGAGAATGGAAAAATCACGACAGACTCCACAGAAATACAAAGAATTATTAAAGACTACTATGAAAACCTATATGCCAACAAGCTGGAAAACCTAGAAGAAATGGACAACTTCCTAGAAAAATACAACCTCCCAAGACTGACCAAGGAAGAAACACAAAAGTTAAACAAACCAATTACAAGCAAAGAAATTGAAACAGTAATCAAAAAACTACCCAAGAACAAAACCCCGGGGCCGGACGGATTTACCTCGG